AATCTTTAATTTTATCCAGACCTGGGCTTTTCTTCTTTTTTTTTATTTATTTCGTTTTGCATCTCAAGTTCTGAAATATGTTTTCAAGCATATCTACTGTCTGAGAGCTCCATTCTAATAAGTCAATGTCTGCATCTTGGTTATAGTCTCTCATCTGCTCGGAAGAATTCAGCTCTTTAAAGTGTTCAAACCACTTTTCATCTTTTCATTTTGTTGGTTATTTTGTTGGTCCCAGTACTTGTGTATCTCATTTTTGAATTCTGACTTTTTTTTGTTTTATTAGACGTTTATAGTCTCTTTTAAGATTGTAGCATTGTAATTTTAAATATTTGTTGCCAGGATTCTTACTGAGGTTAGAAGACAAATTAAATACTTCTCTTTGATGTAATAATGTGATTTTTTGCAAGTCTTGCGTTGGCACGATTTTTTTCTGGTAGAATGATATCACATGTATCATAATTTGATATTGTCGTCTAGTACCAAGATTTACCAAGTTTCTAGAAATTGGGAAAACCGCCATGACATTGGTGAAATGTACTAGACAAGAAAATATCCGACAGTATTCGCCGGGAGTTTTGGAGATTTAATAAAACCCTTGGGCTCACTCTAAAAGACTGTCTAACTTTGACCTAGTGTCATAACTTATAACACACGTGTAATATCGATGGCCTTAGACAGTGTCTTATACATTATTTATTATTATTTGAGATGTATATATTCCCACAGAATATGTTTATTGGATGTAATTCGCATCAGTTAGTTGACAGATTTGACAGCGACTATCTTTTATTTTATTCGTTGTCACGATGCGAGTACTTGGGAATATTTGGGATACATGTAACAATCATAGTCATAGTTGTCGTAATCATGTAATAAGGAGTGGTCCAATAGCAACTCTGAGAGGGACGATGTCAGAAAAACCTGTCAAAATTATTTTTTCTGTCTTCACTTATAGTTTTGTGAGGCATGTACTTTGTTATATCCATGGTCAATTTGCTGCAATTTTTTCACACAAATACTGTGCAAATCGTTATTCCCCATTTCTGCCATCGCTCGCTGAGTTTCTAATGATCAATTCCTGAGATAAGTAGAAAAGGAAGTTAAAAAATTAGTTGTCTGTCTCACTGGTGAGAAACAGAATCGTAGTCACACCCTTCGACACACACACACACACACACACACACACACACACACACACACACACACACACACACACACACACACACACACACACACACACACACACACACACACACACACACACACACACACACACACACACACACACACACACACACACACATACACACACACACACACACACACACACACACACACACACACACACACACACACACACACACACACACACACACACACACGCATAACGCGGACGCATATATTCATTTTTATCTTCAAGTACCAGTAATATTTCTTTACTGTATCTTTATGATAAGTATAGTTTTAGTTTGTAGAATAGTTTGTTATACCTTTATTACATTTGTATTCACCTAAAGTGAATTTCTTTCAATATGGTTGTAATAAAGAATTATCTTATCTTATCTTATCTTATCTTATCTTACCTTATCTTATCTTATCTTATCTTATCTTATCTTATCTTATCTTATCTTATCTTATCTTATCTTATCTTATCTTATCTTATCTTATCTTATCTTATCTTATCTTATCTTATCTTATCTTATCTTATCTTATCTTATCTTATGCATTTCAACACAGACGTGACCTGGCCGGGTGTGAAACGTTCAACTTCGGCTTCGATATGCTTTCACTCACTACAGTGCAAAAATGCCTGATATTTTCAAGCCGAAAGTAGATGCTACCAATGTTACACGGAGCATCGTGTATGTCAGCTGATACCGCTACACAATAAGACACATAACAATGCTCAATGTTCAAACCATCACAAGAACTTGTTTTGTGTGTATTTATAAACTGTTATTGCAGTTTGACCTGAAATTAACATCTTACATACCTGGTGTGTACATTACAAATTGCAATTAATATGCATATTGTGAAGTGGACTGGGAAACGTTTTTCATAAAATTTCCCCATTTGAGAAGTCAACCTATTCCGTCGGATAGCAATGAAGTACTCCAGGAAATAGTGTACATATCTGCTGTATGCCATGAACTCTGGCTTTTAGTTTTTATGTCTACAGGAGTAAATATAACTTTTTGCTATCAGAAAGAGGAAGTTGACTAAACATGTAAAATTTTCATCCCCGAGAAGGATTTTTTGTGCGTTCGGGAATGCAGAAAGTTAACATTCTCATCAAAATCAGAGTTGTTTAGTTTCTGAGGTACGCATTGTATCAGGCCATACCATTTTAGAAAGCATTTCTCGGGTACTCTTTTGCTCTGAATCTCCTCCCATCACAATAAGCCTTACATTTTAAAATTAATTTCTTATATTGCAAACCTTAAAGTATAGTGGTCATCGCGCCGCGCTCTGTTCGATATGGGGCTCATAGCGACCTATACAACGCGTGTAAAATACATTGTTTATTTACATGAAATTAGAACACGCGCTGTGCTGCGACCACCGCTCTTTAAATACTCATATTTTTAATTAAAATGTTCAAATTTTAACATCCGTATTTCATATTTTAAATTTAACTGCTCACATTTGTTATTTAAATTGTCATATTATAATGCGTCATAGTTTGTAATATGGCCCTAATTACGCACCATACATGACCGTTGCCAAGTTACAAATCCCAAGATAGTAGCTGCCACAGAGGGCGCAACACGTAAATGTTAGTCTCTTGTTATGCTAGTACATGCTGTTGTTGCTGCTGTAAAATAGGACTCCCCGTAACTTTGTAAACGATAGATTCAGTGATGAAGCATTAATCAGATCGATATAAATACCCTGCATTGTCATTCAGATTTTGAGAACGCCGTTCGACAGGATGTAAGGCTCCATAGTTCGACTGGTACTAGTGTGCAACTGATGTAAGACTAAATATAAAATGCACCTCATTACCATCTGTGTAGCCTGACGTCGGTACACTAGACAGAACGAAGTAATGGCGGGGGTAATGCAAACTAGTTTAAAACGTCGTCCTGAAAACGGTATGACGTGCCATATGGCAGATACAGTCTCGGTGAATGGCATTCATACGCAAATTAATCGACCCGGAAGGGGTCGCTGTCGGTCAGGCAATACCTCATTCATCACATACGTAAATAGGGGCGGGAACACTTATACATGCATTCAGAGTAATTGAGAATTGACGGGCGTACCGTTAGAAGCCCGCGTTCTTTTGAAACGGTTTGATGTTATTTTGTTTGTTTTTTCTTTATTTGACAACGACCGTTGAACTTTAGGAGCATGTCAAAACTAGAATCACACTTGGTGCAGATACTAGAGCAGAAAAGCGGAGTTTTTGCTGGGACATTCTGATCATATACACCATGTACACACATTCATAGTACCCACATAAAAATGTTCACATAACACACACACACAAACAAACAAACAAACAAACAAACAAACAAACAAACAAACAAAAAACAAGACCAGATCTTCATTATAAAAGGAGTCTGGTTTAATGAAATTACACTGTAAGAAATACATTTACATGGTTTTCTGGGTTGAAGAAGTACAAGTTCATTATGAACAAAAAAAATAAATTACTTGAAACATGGTCGAAAATAGTCCACACTTTCTCCAGTGGAATATCTCAAGAAATAAACGACTGAAAAATATATACAGTATCGATTGTTTTACAGACCTTGGCTGACATCGCTTCAAGGTCTCATGTTCATTGTTTGTAACAACGACGGTGATGTTGGGATCGTAGTAGTCCGCAGCGAACTGTCAAGTTCGTATATATTAAAATACTACAAAATATATACAAAATGCATATAGTATATATATATATAGCTCTGTCTCAAGATGTTGAACACAGAAGTCTTTATAATAAATAAAAATTTACTTCTTTGCGGTCTTTTTCGCTGCCTTCTTTTTTGGCGCGGCCTTCTTTGCTTTCGGTTTTGCTGCTTTGGGTTTAGCTGCTTTCTTCACTGGTTTCTTTGCCTTTTTCGCTGCTGGTTTTTTTGCTGCAGGTTTCTTTGCCTTCTTCTCTTTCTTTGCCTTTGGTTTCTTGGCTTTTGGTTTCTTCGCCTTGGGCTTATTTGCTTTCTTTGCCTTCGGTTTCTTGGTTTGCTTGACTGCCTTCTTTTTCTCTCCGACACGGAAACTGCCCGATGCTCCCTTGCCCTTCGTGTGTTTCAGGGCACCACTGGCTTCCATACGCTTAAGTGCCATCTTAAGATGAACGTTCGCAACTTTAGCATCGCCAACTTTGTAGTGTGCCAGGATGTATTTCAGGGTTGCCTGGCGGGATGAACCACCACGTTCCTTGAGTGCTTCGATTGCCTTTACGATCATCTCACTGTATTTTGGGTGAGCTGCTGGTGCCTTCGGCTTCCTTGGCTTCTTTGCCTTGGTAGCCTTGGCCGCTGCTGGTGCTGGAGCTGCTGGTGCATCTGACATGTTGAAAGTTACACTTATCGGAATCAGTTACGTGAGAATAGTAGCCTAAGAGCAGATTGGTGTGACGCGGAGAACGCCACCCCAATAAATAGAGTATGTGCGGACGTCGGAGAAAGCATCATAACACAGTCGAGGAGTTAGTAACGAAAATGGCTGCATGAGTGTAGCTATGTGCTTGTTATTCTATTTAGAGCCATAATATTCGTAAATAATCCACTTTTCACCAGCCGATTTTCGTGCGATTAGTGAGATAAGATACTGGGCTTTCTTTCGAGGGGCGTCATGGATTTCTACGTCGAATATTTACGAAGCTCGATTGAAGTTTTTTCCGTAATGTAGTTCGTGAAAAACGCCTACTTCCACTTCAACGTGCCATATTTCTCGCTAAGTACGGTGGGTGTGGAAATGTTGATGTTTGACAGAAACTCTGTTATATCCTCTTCAACTTAACAGGTATTATACAATTTCTGGTCGGTTTTCAGTATTTTGGTGGCTGATTCAAAATAGGATAACAAGCACATTGTTTCCTATCCGCCATTTTGTGTTTCGGCGTTAGTCCGCCAAAAATACGAAATTTTCATTTTTACCATGAAATTTTGACTAAAACACCCTAGACAGATCAAAACATGCAATCTCTATACTTTAAAATGAATGTAAAATGGTCTTTGTGCGATCTTTCTACGCATTTTGGCGGATAAAAATACTTGGCCAGTAATGAGATTCATGGTCGAGCTACGTCAGTTTTCCGAGGGCCCTTTCTACTAGTATTTGTATAAAATTGCGAATTTTGATCAATTTCGCTGCAATTTTGCAAAAATAATAGCACGAACACCTATATATCAACAATTATTAACACCATGTGCATTGTAATATTTTAAAAATAATTAAAAGTATTAGAAAATGTTGTTTTTGTGTGCAACTATGCACTGATGTGTTTGTTTGCGTCGTCACCACCATCACAAGCTTGCCTGTCTTGTCGGTGTAAAAAGTATTTATTATCGTGTTGTTTTTAAAAGCACCCATGACATTAAAAATCTATCATAGCCATGGAAAGTACTGTACTAAACCCGTCAATATGAACAGTTTTCGTTTGTAAGAATATCTTGTGGATTAAGCTGGTTTAATTGCTTCGTTAGCTGTGACGAAGGAAACTGAACGCCATATTGAGTATGTTTCTATACTAGTACCTTTTGACCTCCAAATATACTACTAAGAATACTTTTGCTTCTCCTTTTGATTGAAACCATTAAAGTATTTCTAATTGTGCATTTTAATAATTCTGACCATCTGACTAAGTTACAACAACTTTCTGTCTGTAAATTCAGTGTTTATGCAAAAATCACCGCGGGACATGTGGCGTTGTCTACGTCAGTCGGCGGACCATGCGAAGCTTTTGTGGTTGCCAGTGACTAAAGCTAGCCAGACAACGAACATAAAATCTTGCCGTATATGCTTTATTTTATTAGTTCGGCTGGAAAATATGTGAAACCGTTCTTCTTTCTGTTTGTTGTACACAAACACGGCACAATATCTCAATGAGTGCAATTCAAAAATCCCTCATCCTTTGACACTGTAGTTCGAGTGTATAAATAACTGCGTCGATCGGATACTACACTGACAGATCGTATTTCTCTTGAATTGGTCGCGTACCAAATGTTCTTCAAAATAAACGCTTATGTTTTTGGTAATGTAATTAAAACCAACAATTATCAATATTGTGTATAATTGCACAATTTGGTTTAAAATCGAGAGCTACAGAAAAGAAGGCGTAACTATATCAGGAATCGTTATGGAAAATTCCACCGTGAGTGACAATGGTTGGCATAAAAATCCGAGCTGCCATTTTTTCTCCGTTCAACTGCCTTCAAAAACTGGCCTATGAAACAACATCGTTAAACGGCACATAACTTTATGAATTTGACTGGCAGTAAGTTATGGCATGATAGTTTTTACCATTGCAATTGTGCTATGCATTAAATACACCAATGAAAATAAAACTATTGCGTGACACTATTGCTTTGTGCTTTGTACATCTCGGCCTGAGTGCCGTGATTGACTGACTCAAGCTTGTGTTGTTTCCAATAAAACTTCACATTTCATTTGTGATTATTGTTACGTGCTGTTGATTGACCAACGACATTCACTTTATAATATGATATTTTTTTCTGGCATGTAGTATTAATGTTGCTTTGTGAACCATCAACATAGCTATTGTCATGGCAACAATTGAATAGACTCTTTGATACATAAAACTATTCTATTCATTGTATTTGCCAGGGTTTATTATTCACAATGGACTGATTTTTCCCGCTTGGTTTTATATTTGTATAATGACCAGAGATTGCATATCACAATTTGCATAATAATATGTCTGTTCGTCCGATTCCTGCTGCTATGGGGTATTTGTATTAGTAGTTATATATAAATGTGTTTTCATCCTTTCCTAACTTTTTACACAAACTGATGCAATTATATTTATTACAAACTAACAACAGTAAATACTAGTACTCACACCACGTACGGTGTTGTTTTAGTGACCGTACTACAAACAGTTGTCTAGGCTGGGCTGCCGAAACCGCGCCGATAAACTACTTCGATAATTTGGCCATCTTCATCATTCAAGTTTCCGTTCGTAACTGTATTCACTTTGTTATTTGGAAGAACGTAGAAGTCAGTTGGAGTCAATGGATAATGACACTCGTAACACCAAATATATATATATATATATGTATATAACTGGAAAAAGAAAAACTGCCGGGGTTGTTGAACTCGGCGGAACAGACCTGCGATTACTAAGACTGAGCTAGCCACGTCATTGAAAGTGTTTGTCTAAGATACTTCGGTGATTACTTCTTCCTATTTTTATACAGCTTATTTTGTCATGACATGACAGAAATCAAACCAAGGATTGTGAAAGCAAACACTGGTGTGAAAACAAATACATCATTTTGTCTGAAACGTCTCGATATAGTGAATAATTAGCAAGGACTGTGATTACTTCCTTTCATTGTTAGATTTCTGGATTGATATTAGTTTTATTTGTGAGTCAATTAAAGACAATTATTGTTACTGAAGTACAGATTTAATCAAAGACATTCGTTTTCTAATGTCTTTGATTTAATGAACTTGCCACTGGTGGGCAACTGAACCAAATTTAAATCATTAGTTAGAGAACAAACACTAAGATGTAGACAGTTTTCGAAAATTCTTTCGTTTTTATTGGGGGGGGGCATATTTTTTTAAACAATTGAATTTGACAAGAAAAGTAGAAGTATATTAAAAATAATTCATGACGCAATGTACATCATATGCACAACAATGATGATTTTTATAATTACCAACTTGAATCACATATGAAATTACAAAGTTGTGTGTTCAACAACTCATGTATGAACAATAACTTCAATAAATATGATTTTACTTGGTAAAAAGACTGTTTTTTTACTTTGTAAACACGGAAGAATTTTTATAATGTCGAAAAACCGAACAAAGTCGCAGTGTTTACTGCACTGTTTCTTTGGTAGTAGCACATTAGATCATTTCTTTCAGTGGTCTGAGTTGTAGTACACAGTAGACAGACCAAGTACTTTTTGGTCTTTTTTCAATCTCTGAACAGTAGCTGTGTTTTTGACGTGTGGAACTTTTATGTAACCGCTTTGGCTTACGCTATGCGTCGCAAACTTTTGTGCTGTCTTCAAAAGACCCGACAATTGTCATCTGATCATTGCACGCACCGACAGCTTTGCAGATACTAGCTGAGCTAAACACAAACCAACAAATATTGCTTGCAGACACATAGCCT